TCTATCTATCTATCTATCTATCTATCTATCTATCTATCTATCTATCTGTCTGTCTGTCTGTCTGTCTGTCTGTCTGTCTGTCTGTCTGTCTGTCTATCTATCTATCTATCTATCTATCTATCTATCTATCTATCTATCTATCTATCTATCTATCTATCTATCTATCTATCTATCTATCTGTCTATCTGTCTATCTGTCTATCTGTCTGTCTATCTGTCTATCTGTTTATCCATCCATCCATCCATGTATGGTTGGTAGCAGCAGTGAGCAACACACTTTCTGTTTTAGTGACATTCATCAAGTAAAATAGTTTACCTGTGGTAAGAATTTATACGTGTATGTCCCCTGCTGTGATGGTCTCTCTGTACTACTGCAGTTCTTCTAAATAATAGACATCTCTACAGAGAAAATAATCCCACTACACAGCTGAGGTGTCTAAATTTACTGTATTCCCAAAACTGCTCTATCCAGCCGCATCGTACATGAGTCAATGTGAATTGGTTGATATTCTCATTCCTACCACTCAGACTTCATAATTAGTGAGTCTTGTTTGTACTAGAAAGAATGGTGTCATGGGAGGAAACATTATGCCATTCTGAAGACTGAGATTAATACTTTGTATAAAACAATAACTTACAACTGAGATTTGTTTTGTTTTTTTAAGAGATGAATGCAACTGTGCCGCACTGACAGTGTGTATTTGTATGGAAACGTCTGGAGACTAGTTAACAGGAAAACTAACACCTTCTCTGATGGTTAGTAAACTGTCAGTATACGACAGTCTTGGTGCTTCTTTCAAAGAAACTGTGTTTGTGGAAGCTCAACTCCTGTGAGACATATGTCATTTTTAGTCTCCCAGAGGATAACACACTGACAGTGCTCTGAAACGTGTGCACAGGCAGTGCTTCTCGTTAATAACCATCTCAAATGGCCAACATTGAAACAAATGATACAACAGCATGTGTTTATTTTGGTCTGCGTGCATGTCCATGTGACTTTCGCTGCCCACATTGGGTTAAATTTAGATTTTAAACTGCATCAGAAGCAAATGGTGTGAAAAGCATGGAAAAGGCTCTCTAGTGTGACTGCCAGTGCTCTCTTTGGACACTTTTTCCTCCCCTAGTTTGAAGTCAAGTACAGTATTCTGTTCTCCTATATATATTCCAGTTCTGACAAGGTATTCTGTTCTCCTTCTATATATTCCAGTTCTGACAAGTCCTTTGCTCTCACTCACTTATGCATTTTATCACAGAAAGTTCAAGGATGTCTGTCTTTCAGATTGAAGCAGACTGAACTTTACAGTACTTGCCTCTTTAAAGAGCTCTGCATGACTAAAAGAAAGTGTCTCATTTTAGCTTGCGAAAAGAGGTGACAATCAACTTTTTTGTTTTGTTTTGTGGAATTATGTGGAATTTTAAAGGTACTCACTTCAAATTGTGAAACCAAATGTACAAAAAGTTAAACTAGTTCAATTTTGTAAGCTTTAGTTTCTAGATCAATTGATATGCAATTCTAAAATGCAGGTACACACTTGATGTAAACAAGGTGATTTAATCCTTTAACCTTTAACAAATCTGAAAATAAATACATATTAATGCATATAAATAGTCAGACTTCTTAATTCAATATGGCTCTTCTATGGACTGCACCATTATTAATGTGTTTTAGGTCAATTCAGCTTTTTCTATAGGTAAACAAATGCACATTGTAGTTGGCAGCTGTTAACAATGGTTGCTTAAACGTTTTTATGTTAATGACACACAAACGATATATGGGAAAAGAAATGCAGATTTTGTTTCCTACTTCACATTTTTATTTATTTTTTGACTGGTCTTCATGAAATCGCATTAAATATGTTTGAATCTTTCTCAGGAACTCAACTTTTCTTTTAATTTTCTTGGCTAAAGGAAAATCAAAGATGTGATTATTTTTAACAATCGGATTTTATGGATGAGAACGTCTTTGTGGGAGTGTATGTATTAGTGAGTTAGTATTATATTTATATTACGAATTAGCTATAGCTATATACTCTTTGTGCAACGCATCAGTCACAGACTTGTTCTGTTCTATGTTTTTGTGCATTGTCCATGTCAAATAAACTAATAATAAATAAATAAATAAATAAATAAATACTTTGTAAATGTTGAAGCACCCTGTTTCATCAATAAAAAAAAGAACCAGTTGCAGTTTAGTTTTACCTTTTGACAATCCAAAGCAACTTAGTCCTTTAAAGTAAACTTTTATTTATATTAGATACAGTTCACCTATTTGGTAACATATGAGCAGAGAAGAATCTTGAGCCTTTCTTTCTTCTGTTTGCTCCAGTTGTACATAAACAAATAATTATTTTGGGAAAAAGAAAAAAAAAGATGCTAAAACTAAAAAGAACTCACTAATTCATTTTAAGGTTTTCAGTCACTCTACATTTTACAGGAGTGGTGGCGCAGAGGATAGAGAAGGCAAGCCTGTGATCGGAAGGTCGCCGGTTCAACTCCCAAAACTGACGACATCAAAATGTAGGTGGGAATGGTGAAGTACCCTCACCTGCCTCCACCCTTATTTGCCCCACTCTGGGTCATTGAGCAAGACCCCTAACACCCACCTGCTGGACAGCAGCTCTCTGCTCCACACAGAGGGCTGTGGTAGCTCAGTGGTCTGTGGTTGCCTAAGGAAGGGCATCTGACGTAAAAAGACAATTGCCAAGTCTTCGTTTGAGTTAGTTCACTGTGGTGACCCCTGAAGAAGGGAGCAGCCAAAAGAAGAAGAAAAAAAATCCTTTACATTTTAGATTTATTGTCACATTTTTGCCCCTTGCTGACTTAGTTTTCTGCTTCCATGTTCAGTTTTGCCTATCACCCATCTTCAGCTCAATCCTGCTCCTTCCAAGCCAAGCCACACCTCCCTTGTTTGTTACAGCAATCAGCACTCATCAGCTTCACCTGTTCACCTGCCATGCTCACACTCTACCAGTGCCAGATTATGGAACTC